TTACTACTAATTTTCTTGCCACAAGCTTTTCACCAGGATTATGTCTTCTACAAATGAAATAAAGACTTGGGGGAACCAGAAAAATGTAGCTTTATTACTGTTCATAAGAAGCTGTCTTCAAACAAGAAGCAGGTTTTTTTTATTAATGACATTTTAAAAAGTAGATTTTAGGATTATAAATGTGCCCACTCCATATACTTAATTCGTATTAGGAGGTTTCTCTCTTCAAGGTCTTGCCAGCATTGACAAATTAATTTATCCTTGTAAGACCACTGAGAAATAGGCAAACAAGTTAATCTGGAACAGTGTTTGTTTAGGATTACAATTCCTGTGTTATTTGAAAGGAGTTAGCAGAGATCACAATAATTAGCCTAAAAACAGATAGCAATAGGCATAAGAAAAATATGTAAAAGAGGCGATAGAAGTGCTTTGGAAATCTGAGAAGATAGCCCTAATGGAGGGAGCCTAATGGTCTGTTCCCAAAAGTAGTTTCCTGGGGCATGTTGTGGGAGGGCATGATGTGGTTTTAAAGGTCACAGTCAGACACGGCTGTACCTGCCATAAATCTGGACCCGACTGTCTGGATTCTCTTCATATATTTCTACAGAATCTTCAAAGAATGTTCCATTAATTTATCCTTCCCCACATGAAGAAGTCACATGTTGTTTGCTTGTCTCAAAATTGCCATTTCTCCTTTCAGATAATTCACTTCTTTCCACAGAGTGTAAGATGGAAACAAATTCAGTTGATTCTATGTGTGTCACCCATACTCTTGAAATTTCCACTTCTAAGCTTTTATTTTGTATTTTGCCCAGACTGTTAATTAAATCATATGACAAGTTTCCTGAACCCTTATTCCTTTTACATGGACTATCTCTTAATGGATGAGATCCAAGACAGGATAATGCTCAAGGTCCAGTAATTACACCATGGGTTCAATATTATGTTTGTTTTTGTTTACAGTGGCTTTGTGACAAATTCCAGGGTTCTGGTTAGCCTTTCAGGTTGCAGAAGAGTCCTTTGTTGCATATTCAACTTGGGGTCATTCTTATTTATTTTTTATTATGTGAAGAATGCCTAGGTAATTAGTCTTCTCACACCTAACCAAAATAGCTCTTTATCTCAGTTGATGGCCCTATAGATCACTAGTCACCCAGCTAGAAACCTATGCTCTCTCCTAGACTATCTTCCCTCACTCCCAATTTAAATGTCCTTCCAATAATCACAAAGTTTATTTTTACTTTCTTTCTTTTTTTTTTAAATGTTTATTTATTGTTGAGAGGGAGAGAGAGAGAGAACGAGCCGGGGGGGCGGGGGGCGCAGAGAGAAAGGGAGACATGGAATATGAAGCAGGCTCCAGGCTCTGAGCTCTCAGCAACAATGTGAGGCTCGAACTTACAAACATGAGATCAAGACCTGAGCCAAAGTCATATGCTTAACCAACTGAGCCACCCAGGCATCCCCTTCCAGTTTTACTTTCTACCCTTATGTTGATCCATCACTTCTGCTTCCATGCCCTAAGTTCTCATCTGGTTAACCTCCGTTTGTCACTTTAAAAGAGTCAGTTTCCTCTGGGTTAGGTGGCCTCTCTTGGTCCTTAGTCTGTCCCTGCCTAGTCCTGTTGTTTATCCTTACGTGATGTTCCCCTGCACCACTTTGTCAATTCCTCAGAGGAAGGAATGGGTGGGACCTATTGACTGTTTTATCTTATTAAAACCCCGAATGTTTTAATTACCTAACGGTAATTATATTAAATATATAGTCATTTCGTTTCAAGTCACTCCATGAAAAAGAAACAAACAAATAAATAAATAAAAACCACAAAGCACTCCTGAGAGGGAAAAAAAAAGCACTCCATGAAATTCTAGCACTTTTGTTTTCCTGTTTATATTTTAATATTTTTCAGTTATGTGTTTTAAGAAGGGATAATAATTTTCAAAAACTTGCCTTTATGTATGGCTTTTCTCGTCACTTTGTTTTAATATCTCAACAATTAAGAGTGTTGCCATTGTTGTCTGCCACATCTGGGGTCAAATTCTAGTTTTCCTCTTAGGCCGTTCTTAACCACTCTGATGCTGAGTTTCACTTTAATGCAGTTATTGTCTGAATCTTATGCAGCTGCTTTATGTGTGCCTATATATAGAGAGAGAATGTTAGGTAAGATACCGTAAGAAGTCATAACTTGAGCTAAGAAGTAGGACTTTCTGCAGCTGTGACCCTTGCTAGGCCCTTTTGATGCTTTGTCCCATATCCCTTCTGCCTTCCTGAGCTCACCTGTAACCATGGAGGGAAGTTCTAACATACCAGCAACTTTCCAGCTCAAGTGCTGTGTCTCCTCTTTTCATCTGAAGGCACAAGCACAGGGAGTCTGGGGGAGGAGGGGATTTAACCTCCAGTCGGTAGGAGATTGGAATTATTGGATAAATGTCCCAGCCTCCTGATGTCCAGTGAAAAGATTCTAAGGCATGTCTTCTTTTGGTTTCTCAGAGGCTCTCCAAAGGGAAAACTAGCTGTAGCGGTGACATACCTAATAATTTATCTATTACTGATTTCTCTTTTACTTGTCTCACTTTTCCTACTTTCTGTAGCAAATGCTTCCTGATTACCTTCCATACAAACTATCTGCCCCTAAATCCTTATGTCGGAGTTGGTATTTGGGGTACCAACCAAACTAAGCCAAGGCTTAAAGAATATGGAAGCCATGGCCAACCAAGGTTGACAGACTATGACAGTCAGAAGCGACAGCATGTAGCAGTACCAGAGCCAATGCTTAAAGGTGGCAAGTTCAAGAAACTAAAGGAAAGCTCTAGAATACTTGCTGGAGCAGAAAATGTGAAATGCAAGTTGTGAGGTAGTAGGGGCCAGTTAGTGTTGGGCCTTAGAATGCATTGTCACTCTTTTGACATGATTCCAGAGACAGTGGGATCTAGACTGAATGATTTCAAGTGGAGGAGTGATATGCTAGATAATATGGAGAATAAATTCTAGGGGAAATGGAGCCAAGACATCTATGAGGAAGTAATTAGGAACCTACATTTGGGAAGTATTATCCACAGAGAAATGAACAGACTTCACAGTTATTTAGAAGGTAGCATCTTTCTAAATTCCCATTGCTATTTCTTCAATGTCAGTGAAGCAGTCATGGTGGTAATGAACTAGGGTAAACTGGTCATTTATACAGGAAGCATTTCGATTATTGATATTGCTCTTTGGGATAATATATTAGCAAACTTTCTTTGAGGCTGTCTTTATTTCTCAAGAAAAGCCTTTAACTTATGTTTTAATGTGTCTCATTCTTCTTTTAAAAATATTGAAATGTTTGTGGTGGCTGAGAGACTAATATCCTATTCCTCTGGTTCATCTTTGGTAGAGTAATTGATAGCATTTGTTAGTAATACATATTTAAACCAAACTCCTACTCTGGAAGTAAGGATTCCAAAGGGTGATGAACTTTATCAGTTTGCTCATGAGAATGGAAATAAATTACAACGATGAAGACCAATATACCACAGCAAGTGCCTTTATAAAATTATTTTTAGATGTCTTTTGTGAGATACCCACTTTTGCCCTTGGAAACTTTTTTGTAAGGGGTATTAGTAACCACTCATTTTAGTTAGTGCGGCAAAAATGGGTTCTGTTGTCCCCATCAGTCAGCATAAAATAAAAATGGTGATAAACCCTCTTGGAAGATGCAGCTTTCACTAAAAAGGAGGGAATGAAAACCTAATTGAAAGTTACTGTAAATTTTGAATCATTAATTTCATGCCAAATAAGTCATTAGAAATCTCTGATGGATATAAAAATGCAATCATTTGCAAAATTGGAATGAGCAAAATTCAATCTAGATATACTTCACTATTTTTTTTAATTTGTTTATTAGGAAAGCTGTAATATAGAGGTTGTTGAATTTTAACATGAAAGCCTTTTGCTGTCAGTAGTTTGTTCGTGCTGCTGGGCTCTAAACCTGGTACTTAATTTCTTTCTATAACCTTTTATTTCAGTTGGTCATCTTTGTTATAACTCACTGTTTTTCTTGCTTCTTGACTGATAATAATATATCTGGTTCATATCACTTCAAACATATGAAAAATCTAAGGTTTTTTGTTTTGCTTTGTTGTGTTTTGTTTTTATTTTATCATATATTATGTATATTATATAAATTATATGTATATTTAATATATAAATTATGACACATAAAATATAAGTACATACATATTTTATAAATGATACAATAATAAATTTAAAAATATAAATATATATGTAGTCCTCTTTTTTGAAAAAGCAGAGGTAAAATTTATGAGCTTTCTTCTTAACTCTTTCCAGTTTTATTCTATGAAAGGCAAAGTGGTTCTCCAGGAACCAGAACTTTTTATTCTTTGACTCTGTGGTTTTGAAAGTGGACATAATATACTGAATACAGAGAGGTTATTGCACCAAAAATAAAAATATCTGTAGGTCTAGATCAGAGTGCAAGCTATCTTGTTACATGAAGCTACCTTTCATTATGAGATATACAGAAGACAAATTGAATACATAATTCCATAAAATAATTTTTTGTTTTGTTTTTTGCTGTCTTGTTCAGTGAAACTTGATAGATAATGTGTTCCACTGTGTTGGAGAAAAGTAGTCAAACTAAAAATAGAACCCTAAAATACACTGCTCACCATGATGACTGAACTGATTCTCAGTGGACAACAAAAAGGCAATAGTGATATTGAAGAGAAAGCTTGAATCACAGTTGAACTTCCAGGTTCTTTTTGTAAGCGAAGAGCAGACCAACAGACCATCACAGTCCAACTTTTTTCTCACATACTTCGAACACTTAATTACCAGAGAAAAGAAATCCTTTATTACCATCAGGGATTCAAGGTCGAACAGTCAACTACAATAATAGTGGTTCAAAGTAGAAGCATCATTTTTTTTTAACTGGAAGGATTTTCATTTTACATTTACTATTATGCACATTATTGATTTTCTTTTCTGGTTGTTGTTCCTTGCAGAGAGTGAATCTGTCCTTCGATTTCCCATTTTATGGCCATTTCCTACGTGAAATCACTGTGGCAACTGGGGGTAAGTGGTTTTCTACCCATTCACCCTAAATAATCTACAGTTTCACTATAGTTATTTTTAATTTACTTTACATTTCAAAAGGGACATTTATTGGGAAAACCATTGCCTTCTATCACAAAGTCATGGGTGTAAACAAAATCTAAGGAAGAGTATAGCTATTAGAAAAACTTTTCAGCAGAAAAAAGATGGAGTTATAATTTTCAGCTTAGATTCATCTGTTTTCTTTCTACTTTTTTTCCCTTCTTTTTCTTTCTATGTTTTAATTTGTCTTTGGTAACATGGTAAAACTGCATAAATGGGAATAGACCTAGAAAACAACAAGGTGTTTAGGGAAGCTTCTGCAGTATTTTTTCCCTTCTTTTAATGTATGTAAGTGATTAATATAAATATATATATACACACATCCTCACATATATTACCTTTAATTATTCCACCCCCCCCCCCAATTCTTTAATGCCACCTACGTTGATTGGCAACTCACTTGAATTTTAAAAATAAATACTGAGATTCGGTTGGGATTCTTTTAGTTTCATTTTTCTGCACAACCTTTGGAGATTAGTATAGAGATTGGCAATACTCTAGAAAGGCAATTATCATTTTTTATAGTATATCCCAGAAGTCAGAAAAATATAATCCTTGAGTGCTACTAGCAGACATAAGCAAAAAGCCAGAGAATATCCCTGTGTTCTGAGGGAAAAACATGAACATGGAAGCATAACTTATGAAATAAGTTAAAAGAATTCCAGAAGTGGAATGGAGTCTGTGGAACAACCACATCGAATGCACCTTAGACAGGAGTCCCTTTCCTTCACTGGGTTTCATTATTGATCTTCTGAATGGTAGGGAAGTCATGTTGATCACTCCTGCCATATTTTAATATGAGATTTAGGAGATACATAGGATTCAGAATAGGACTTGTAATCAGAAATGTCAACAAACAAAAGTTTTTCAGCATCTACTCTGAACAAAGGCCACGTCTGCCTTGGGATTATATAGTCTAGGAGACTATTAGACAGAGTGAAGCAGAATGTGGGAGTTCCTTAGAAAAAACAAATGATGAAATATGGGTTTCCATGACAAAACTGAGACACCTGTGAAAGTCCAGTAGTACTTTATAGAAAAATTATTGTTTATGACATATCTTAAACAATATCTCAAGTTTTGTGGTTATGTAGGGAAGGATGGGTAGGTCCCATGGAAGAGCATCTTGAGTAAATACACAGACTAAGAAATGGGTAAGGTATATGTAGGATAGCAAATAACTGAAATTGAGAGAAGCTGGGAGTAGGTTTACAAAAAATGTGGCATAATAAGAAGGGAAAGGTAGATTGGGATGATTTTATGTATTGCCTCAAGAGTCTTTGTGAGTCATTAGTCCGTAATTAGTAAGTAATAAGCTATAAGAAGCTGAACCCAGACATTTGTATAATGCCTTCATGTATAAAAAGACTGGGGTTACTACATATAATTTGAAAAATACTGCAGTAGCTTATGTGACACATACTGAGGGCCTTGGCAAGTCTGTGGCATCAAATCAAGGGAGAGAAATGATTCTGTCAACAAAAACCACAAACTCAAGAGACGAGCTGGTTTTAGGGAACACCAATGGCTTCAGTTCTGAAACTATTATATTTTGTGTAAAGAAAGGACTAAATAGAAGCAAAATTCATACAAGGACCTTGTCTTTTTGAGCTTACCATCCATTTCTGTCCTAGTATAATGCATGGCACCTGATAGACATTTAATAAATATGTTGAAGGATTAAGAGAAAAGGGAAAAGGGAAAATTGAAAGATTGCCCCTGACACTATGAATTGCATCTTGCTTCCTAGCATCTTTAAAGTATGATATGAACATGGCTACATTATAATATGGACATTAGACATAATTTCTAACATGTTAGTTACTAGTGTTCCACTGAATTTTAAAAATTATTAATCACATTTGTTCAAAATCTATACACATGCTGGTAAAAATACAGGCCCCTTTGAGTTTCAGCTTCTCAAATTGTTTTATCTTTAGAAATCATGTTGGTGATTCAGCCAATATGAACGAAGACTTCCCTTAGCTGTGTTGGTAGGAAGAAAACAAATAAATAGCTGTAGCATCTTTACTGCTTCAAAGTACCAATTTCCTTGGAAAAGATTCTTAAGATAAGTGAAAAATCTGAGGTCTTAAATGATCTCCATCTTCTCTGAAGAAAACACTAATGTAAAGAAATATTTTTTCTACCTACTTAAAACATGATTGCATAGAACTTGCACATATAAGTCCATATGACCCTGTTTAGAGAGATATAACTGAGATCATTTAGACACTTACCTGGGTTTCGCCTAAATGAAACAAGAATCTCTTATAAACGTTTTCAACTAAATAAAAAGTTTGTTTGTACATTTATTGCTTACTTATTCAATCAGTATAGATTGAGCCCCAACTGTGTGAAAGACACAGCATGTGGTATTTCACTGTATCCAGAGAAGAGTAAATTTTGAGTCCTGCTCAGGATCTTAGAATCTAAGAGGAAGGAGTATATAACTAAGTGTCAGAGGAGACTGACTCAAATACTGCAGGGGCAGAAAGTTGCTCCAAGACCATTCCTGTTGGGCCAGTCAACAGCAGGCTTGTCACACTGGCCTTGAGGGAAGGTAGAATTTTAGCAGACAAAGAAGCAGGTTGAAAAAATGAAGAGAGCGAAAAGGCATTCCAGACAAGGGAATGCTGAACTGGGAGAGAATGCTGAACCTGTAGTGAGCATTTCTGGAGGACTATCAAGTGCATCTGTTTATCCCCATTGGACGGTCGGAGTTAAAGTAGAGAGAGGAGATGGGAAGAGTGAAGTGAAATACTTTGAATATTATCAATGTGGATGATATCCAGCAGCTATCAGGGTTTTCTGAGTAGAGAACGGATCTGGTCAGTGCTGGCAGTGGAGAGCAGGATACGGTGAGGGTGGCGAAGCAAAGAAGGCAATTAGCAGCAGGGCTTTTGGTACTTCTGCATGAACCCCGGTGCCTTAACCAGGCTGTGTGCAGTGAAGGAGAGACAGAGCCAGTGCAAGACACACGGCCGAGTTCTTTAATCATTGTGGTTACAAAGGTTTCTAGGCCACAGGGTCCATTAGAATGCAGTGAGTAAAGCTAAGAACTACTTAATGGGGGACTTCTGAACCATAAACTTTTGATGGGTCTCGTCTGTGATTGATTAGGTGTGATAGGGAGATGGACCTACCTGACAAATGCTCGTCACATTAGAAATCTTGGAAAAGTTATTAACCATAAATGGCTTGGGAGAAACCTTGAAACCATGAGTGAGGTGAAATCAAGTTGACTGCTGGCCATTCTAAATAGACCTGGGACTGGGATTTTTAAAATAGGGATGCATAGGTGTCTGTGAAACCAAAATGAATATTCTATTGACTGTCAATTCTCTTCAACTGTATCTACAGATTTCTCTTGAACTTGTTTTTACATTGGATTTGGGAAAAAGAAAGTGAAATGTTAAAGTGGGTATTTTAAAGCACAATTTTCATTCCTACTCCGCTGTTTTCCCGTTTCCCAAGCCTCCTTAAAATCCAGCCCCTACCCCTCCTCTGTCTCTCTCGCTGTTCACCTCGACACAAATTTCTTTACCACTGAAATGAGCTTAAAGATGTCTTGTGTTATTGCTAAGATCAACACCATTTCAAAACAGAAAATGGTTTAACAATACAGGCGTATATATAATTTATTGTGACCCGTCTTTGTACTTAAATATACAGATTCCATTATGAATAAACTTAAGTTTCAAGCTAAAAATGTAAATAAAAACTTAATATTTGGCCGTTCATTTATGAAGTATAAAAATGAATCTTTGTTTATTAAGCATTTTAATTTTCAAAAGCTTCAGTCATCCATATAAATAACGCACAAAGTGAATTGGAAATACCATCTTATTTTCTGGTTCACTGGTAACAGAATCTGAAAGCATTCATTTATCTTTCTATTTCAAAAATACTTCAGAATACAAATATTTCAGGCATTAAAAGACTAGTGCTCTGCGCATCTCATAAAAATATTTCCATTAATGGCACCACTAAGCTGTGTTGTTGGCATATCACACTGTCTTCAGTTTCTTTCTATATGAGTACTCTAATTGGTTCTTTTTTATTATTGCTGCTAAGATTATCTTTTAAATGTTTCAAAAAGAAGATTTAAGTGTGCTGATCTGATGTTTAATTTCTGTGGCCACCACTTGTAATGATTTTTTTTCATGAGCCCATCATGGGAACACATTCCTACGATGAGAGAAAAGGCAGGGGTGGGTTGGTGCTTTAAATAATAGGGAAGAGAAGGCTTGACAATACCCAGATAATTCGGGCCTGAGGATGTAAGTATGTAGACAGTTGCCAGTTCGTAATTAAAATTGTGTGTGGAATTGCCGACCATTGCACATAAGATTGGGAACCAAAGATGATATAAATTAAAAAGATAATGATGAGTATGTATTGACAATCCTTGACTGTATGAAGGGTTTGCCCTCCCTTTCTTTCTACATGAATTTCTAATTGGGGGTTAAATTAACAAAAATGTTTAGGATTTTTTCTGAGGGTATGAAAACAGTTGTAGTCACATATCTCTTCTGTCTTTTTTCTAGTTGGTTGGATATTAACTGACATGCAGCACAGTTTAAGTGGAAGGTGTTGAATTTTAGATCTGTTTTATCTCATTTGCCATATGGTAACTAATAAGGTACAAAATGTTCATTATGTAATCAGTGAGTAGTATATGAAAAATCAGTGCATGGCATTAAAAAAGTCAAAAAGATAACGTAAAATATGTATCTTCCTTCTTCCCCTGCCTTCTACTTTACTGATTCCCTGCCCAAGAAAAAAGCTGCTCAAACTTAAACTAATTTCCTAAATTAGGCCTATAATCATTTGGGTGTGTTTTTTTTTCACTTTAAGTACCCAATAAAAGAGGTTTTTATTTTTGAAAAAGTAGTGCAAATTATTTTGATTGGGTT